CCACTGTTTTGCTGGCGTAGCAAACCTTGATCAAGAGGTAGTTTTAAACTTCATAAGACTTCAAAACAGAGGTGATAAGCAACAATGAGCAGAAGATGTATATTAATGAAAGTCGATATACCAGCTGTAAATGAGAACCAATAAAGAGAGTCATGAAAATACCACCCCCAAAACATTAGCATGTACATTTCAAAATGAAAACGGTATGGAGTTATCCATATACTAGAAAGTGCCTCTAGATGCACTACAGAGGATTAAACAAACAGAAAAAGGAGCAACACATTACTCACGTCCTGTCTTGAGCATTTGTCCGTCCAAAATAGCAAAAAAGACAGAAAATGAGGAGTTTCATGCTGAGCTGCTCTAGACTCCCAGCATTAGGGGTACTGCTGAGAGCCATACACGCTGGAATGTATGGGGTCAGTGCAGTCCAACAAGCTGGTTGCCCCTGCTGTTTGGTTATAGTTAATTATTATCTGTTTTGAGCCTCCCCCAGATTCTGTTCCCTTGGCCACTCTGTTGAAAAGCAAATCACGGTTTGTCAATTTCAGGTGAGCAGACAGAAATGACCCTTCTATGAGTTATTTAATGTCTGTTACTAAACCTGTTCGGATAACTGAAGGTAGAATAAAGAATTAAATATGTAATGTCACTATACTATAATTGGTTATCATTCAATAGACACCCGTTTATATGGCAGCAACCTAAGCTTAAAAGAGAAAGAGAAGTAATGAAATTTATCTATCTAAAACTAGAATACCGGAACTTTTAAGCCTGAGGAAATAATGGATAACGGATGTTTCTTAAGGAATGGATATTTTACCTGCTAAGAAGCCACAACGCTAACAGAAACATTCAGAAACGAATTTAGTGTTAACCAGAAGAATAATAATCAATAAGTAAATACAGAAGGAGACATTATGCCAGCTGTGACCCTGGGTATGTTGACATACAGTAGTTGATTTTGAAACGATGACAAGAATGGAGTTTTCTTGCACCAGCCCACACAGAGAATGTGTTTCAGCAAAGTGTTTTAGCAAAGTTTCAGAAAACCCCAGGGCTAGAACTACCGAAGCTAACGGGCACAAGGGATAGGGTTGTTTAGCGTTTAAGGCCATTAGCAGCACACTCCACAGATTTGAACAACTTTATTGAGTTGAGGAGGTAGGGAAGGGGAGGCCTTCTTATCATCCAGTCTGTGGTTGCATCAAGATAAGAGATAGCCCCGCTTTGTGAATCTGAGCAAGCTCTTAATCAGTGAGCCAGTTTGTCACATTTTCCCTTATATAGAATTTTCTACATTTTTCATAAACATTTTGAATTGCTTTGCTTACTCCAATTACTGTGGCTCTCTGCCCCTTTTTCTTACCTTCACTGGTGTGCTGTAATTTTAAATTGTGGCTACAATGAGATCAGGTGGATGTTGCACATTGGTGGTGGTGGAGGGGAGTCCCCATTACCTGTAAAGCGCTTTGAGTGGAGTGTCCAGAAAAGCGCTATATAAGTGTAAGTAATTATTATTACTATTATTGTAAGTTAAAAAGCACAAAGGGAATGTGGTTTTAGGAGCTGGCACTTGCCTAACACTAAAATTATGTCCTATAGCTAGCAACTTTTTTCGTTGTTTTTTTTTTTACCTTAGTGTTAACAGTTGGACTCCTAGGATCATTGAAATCGACTGCAACATTATTGGGACATTTGAAAAAGCATGAATAAAATAACAAAGTCCACTTACAGCTTATGTCTGTTTACTCTTAATGCCATTCATCTCTATATAAAGGTTAAAGTATTGTAACCAGGTTCCTTGGAAATTGGAAAACCAACAGAAATCCAACTAGTAGTGGGTGTATTGATAGAGCAAGTCAAATAGCACTCTACCACTCAACATTAGTAAACGTTCTAAGCATTGCATTTGAAAATAAAAATTAGAAACCAAAAAGGGAGAAAAGTTTTCAGACAGATTTATTTAACCCTTATTACTTTCTTTATATTAAGAAAATGTTAAATAAACGTTATGTTAAACTTCAATCCCACTGGAAGTAATACAAAAATATCATATGTAACTGACCTAATGATGATACTGGCACGTTATTATATACACAAAGTAAAATGGTCTCGGGAGAGTCCTGTGTTTGAACATTTAAAATAGATGTAACGGCGTATTTGCAGACTTTTGAACAGTCAACATGAAAGCTGTGCGCGGACCTTGTGTTTATTTACTCTGTTTAAACCTTTTTTCACCATGTGTATTTATTTGTATGGTGATATGTACCCCTGTCGGCGTTATTGGTGTGTTAGACGGACTCTTGCTTGTATCGTAGTTTCTTTTGTTGGTCAAATAAAAAGTTGGAAAACAAACCAACGAACGTCTTGTTGTGTTTTACCATAGATACCGCATGTAGAGTCTGCTTCTAACAGTTTTGGAGCCTATACAAAGGGGTTGTATGTCATCACACAGGCCCAGAGCGCTAACCCGCCCTCTGGAGGCGGGAGGTGTGGGGTAGGCCCGGAGGCCTCCGCGGTGTGGTACAGGGGAGGGGGGCCGGGCGGATTTCAAGATGGCCGCGCACTGGACTGTCATTTAGCTTCCCGTTTCTGTATCCGGCCACACTGTCCACGGAAGAAAGTGTTTTTTCCCCTCTCTCCAGCTGAGACGTGAATCTAGCATCTGGCCCTGTCGAATGCGCCTCTCTCACTGGAGACGCTTTCTTTTTAACCTCTCCTTCCTGGGATTTAACTGCCTTTTTGTGGGGGGACTGGGAAATGGGGTTGCTATGGAAACTCTAATAATCAAATTCCCTTACACGGAGAAGCTTGCCGCCGTTGGTCATATATTGTAACTGTGAGTACAACGTCTCTTTTTCTTAATCTTTTGTGCATTTTAATGTTTGATCTCATAAATAGCATGCGCTTTTCCGGAGGGGAAAAAAAAACGTCAGACGTTAAACTTGTCACTTATGTCTGGTTATGTCGTGAAATGAGTTAACGAGTAATATGATGGCTTTCACTTTAAACAAAATAAACTTTGCACTGAATGAATGTACGTGGACTGCAGTATTTATAGTGAATTTAGTTGGTTGGCGCATCTGTAGTCTGGTGCAATACAAAACAAACAACTGCTCGCCAAATGATTTTAATTAATTGATGCTTCATGTCTAAAAATACGTGTGGGCATATACAGTACGTCATTTAAGACGGGTAACTATGCAGACAGTACAACAGCTCACTGCTTGTTGGAAAACACAGAGAGAAACAGAAAGACAGGAGCAATAAATCTCCCAACGGTTCGTAGGGAAGACCTGCAAGCTGTGTGCGGTTTCTTCTTAATATAATACACCAAAATCGTTTAATTGGCAAGAACAAATTTGTGCTTTGGTGGAAATTAACCAGTGTTAATAGGTCTGCAGACTCACTGGTCAGGTCTCTGCTCGCCTGCAAACTCAGTTTGTCTTACTGCAATCTGCAGTACAAATGCAGGTTGCTTGATTTTTTACTTTCAGTTTCCTGCTGGCTATGTTTAGCTATTTCAAGCAGATAAGCATTTCATATTAAAGTTAAGAATAAAACAAGCTTAAGTGTTAAATGGTGTTGTGTAAAGTGACAATTAGGAATGTTTAGTTAATTGTTCTGTTATTAGTAGTTAAGTCCCATTTTGTTTCTGTGCACCAATTAATGTGGCTGTACTGTACGCATTTCAAACTAGAGGTCTATGAGATTTTCTTTTTAGGACAATAACAGTTCTTCAACTTAAATAAGAAGATAGGTTAAGATCACTTTATTGGCCATATACAATTTCTCATATTAGGAATTTGTCTTTTTGCATACCCCAACTTGCTCACAGACAGGGAGAGAAGCTTGGGGTCAGAGCGCAGGGTCAGCCATTTATACGGCACCCCTGGAGCAGCTGGGGTGAAGGGCCTTGCTCAGGGGCCCAACAGAGTAGGATTCCTCTGCCGGCCGCGGGATACGAACTGGCAACCTTCCAGCCACAGGTTAATTGGATTCTGTCCAAGTAGCCCTGGTGTGGATGTGTCTGTTTGTGTCTGTCTGTTTTGGGCTGGACTGGTGTCCCGTCCGGAGTGACTGGTGCCCGTTGCTTGCTGGGACAAACTTCAGCTCCTTTCTAAATAGTTTGAAAATGGATGGATGAATGGTAATTAAAGGCTTGAAAGGGTCATGGTTCAGCTCAGAGCTCGGCGTGTTGGTGTGTTTTATGGGACGGGCAGGATTTGCCGCGCGGACCCGCAGTATGAAGCAGGCAGGGACGCGGCGGACCGCAACTGTCCAGGGAGGGCTGTCCTCTTCGCACATGCTTGGCCCTGGCTCACCGCACTCGGGCCCTCGCACCCCGTCGCCCTCCCCGGCGAGCGGCCGCCCCCGGGAGAAAGGGCACCGCAGCCTCCGGCAGGACCTGTCCGAGGACAGCGATGGCGGCGGCTCAGCAGACCTACACACTGGTAATGTCCCCCTTCGAGGAGCTTCTGCGATTGACGTCTGTTGCCAAGTAATGTGGCCTCCTTTGAATGTGTCTGACGTTCTTTTTTTTAAATTTCCTTTTTTTTAATTTATTTTATTTAATTGTTTTTGGTTGTTCCTTTGGTTTTCCGGTTTTTTTTTTGTTTGGTTGTTTTAGGGCCAACGGGGGTTCCTTTGGTTGATTGTTTCTTTTTTTTTTGCAAAAAATCCTTGAAGCAAGTGAAACAGCTATCAAATACACAGTGGCGCATATAAATAATTGAAATAATTAGTTCAGGAGCAGAAAGGCTCTTTTCTTACCTGTTGTGCAAAATTGCTCACAGTCTTCTAAATGCGGAACTACTAATGAACTGTATGTATCTTGAAATCTTGAAGTCTTGAGATCTGGCACCCAGTTACTGTGTAAGTTGTAATTATTGTTTGTTTGTTTGTTTATTTTTTTTTACAAAATGTAGACGAGCAGAGAAGTCCTGGGATACGCTACATCACTGAGGGCCTCCTAAAGACGTTATCCAAGCAGGACAATCTTGCCTTGGTACAGTCCCTAAACCTGTCTCTGGCAAAAAGTGGAGGCAAAAAGTTCAAGGTAAGTTGACATTTGACATAAACATTGCTTCACACATTTCATTGTGATCTGACTTGTAATCAGTAAAACCAGGTGGTGTAAACTGAAGTATGGAGCGTCTGAGAGTATAAATCTGAGAGTATTTTCTGTCTGGATATTTACACTATCATCTGTGCCCTTTTGGTTACTATGTTTTCAGTTTATTGAAAACCTGGAGAAATGTGAGAGACTGCAGGTGCTGAACCTCAGTCACAATCTGATTGAAAAGATCGAGAAGCTTGAAAAACTGCACAGGCTGCGAGAGCTCAACCTGTCTCACAACCGGATCAGGTACTTTGCTGTATCTTGCTCTGTAATTGGTTGTACTGTATGATTTACATCAAGGTTTATATGGTCTAAGGCATTGCACTTACTGTTACATTTCACTTTATAATATCCCTTTATATATGTATACTGCAGCAATGCTTGTAAAGCAGCTTGAAAAAATACAACAACAACGCAGCAGTTATTATTATAAAAACATTTTTTTTACTAAGGCAATTAACAAAATATTCTCCATATTTATATACAGTGTATGTAATTCAGTGAATTTGATCAGTTAGTCCTTGCAGCGTTGTAGTACTGTTGTGAAATGGCTCTCTCTCATTGTGGCTTCACTTGGCAGTAAAATTGAAGGACTGGAACACATGGTGAGCCTCCATCATCTGAACCTGAGCAGCAATGCGATCGAACACGTGCCTGCGTGGGTGGGCAAAAAACTGCGGTCTCTGCAGACCCTCCACCTGAAACAGAACAGTATATCCTCGGTGAGATCTGGTGATTGTGTGCTCAAGAATGAGTGTGAATTGCGTGCTTGGTAGCAAAAATGACAACGTGCAATGTTTTCAAAACTGCAGGCGAAATTATCGCGACAGAACACTGGTTTGAAATGGTGTTTTTTTTCTTTTTGCCCCTTTAGGTTTACTTGCGTTTTTTACCACTTTCCGGGTTGTGGAAATCTAGCTGCGGCGTGTCTGACATTGCTGTTGCTGGTACGCTACATGTGATAACAGTTTATGAACCTGCCCTCCCGCCTAAAAACGAGCGAGTGTTGTCCTCTTCTGTGGTGCCCAGCTCCATGAGATCACCAAGCTGAAGCTGCTGAAGAACCTCACTGCCCTGACAGTGGCGGAGAATCCCATCGCCAACCTCCCCCACTGCCGCCTGTTCGTCATCTTCCACCTGCGGGCTCTGGAGCAGCTGGACGGGCGGCCGGTCACCGAGCAGGAGCGCCAGCAGGCCCACCAGCGTTTCCACCTAGGTGAGCTCCCTCTCCGTTAATGCTCCCCAGGAGGAACTCTCTGCTCTGCTGGTTGTAAAGATTAGTCTGCAAAGGAACAAGTAAAGGTTTATTCCCTGCTGGAAAGAGAAGAAAGGAAACGCAACGTTTCGGCTGTGACGCCTTCTTCTTCTCCAGAGAAGGGAGCCTTCTTTGACACCGATAAGAAGGCTCCATGGCCGAAACGTGTTCCTTTGCTATCTATCACGATAGTGTGGTTTAAGTGCTAAGTTTATGTAGTTCTTGAACCCAGAATCTTTGGGCTTGAGAGCTTGATGCAAATCTAAGTATTTCTGACTAAGGATCTGACTATAGTTGGTTACATTAATCCTCAGATCCACTCTTTAATACCCCTTTCAGTGTGGCCTTGGAAATATTGTATGCTCTATGGGCCATCTTGCTGTGACCTACAGTAGCTTTCCTTGTATATCCTTATTAGTTATGTTGCTGGCTTGTAATTGATGCTTCTTAGGTGAGTAGATCGTTTCAGTGGTTCTTGATGACATTTGATGCAGTTGTAGTCAATAAGTCCTCAGTGAATTGAATTGCATGCCCTGCTCCTTGTACGTAGTCCCTGCAAGGCCAGGCTATTCAATAGAGCAGCGTTGCTTTAACTCTGTACACTGTGCTTGGTGGGGCTCCCTGGCTCGAACCCTGACTCCGGCCCTGCCGTTGCAGAGGAGCTGGAGCGCCTGGAGCAGGAGCTGGAGGGCCGGCAGCAGGAGGTCACCGAGCTGAGGGAGGCTCAGGCTGCGGCCCGGGAGCAGCTGGGCCAGCAGGAGCTGCTCAGCAGGGGTCTGCAGCTGCAGAGCCGGGAGCAGAAGCAGAGCCAGGCCGAGCTGGAGAGGGAGCTGCACACCAAGGATGAGCTGGTGGGGTCCTGCGCTCCCGCCCCCTCCCTCCTTACTGCACCCAGCCCGCTTCCTCCGAGCACGGAGAGCTGTTCTTTTCCAGGGGCAAACAAAGCGAAGCTTGAGTGAAATGAGCTGCTTTACCTATCTGTCTCTTGACCTCTTTGGCAACAAATGTAAAAATGGAGGCTCTGGGTGGAATCCGGGAGCCAATCCTATCATTATATACTGTACGCAAGGTCTTTCTTCATCAGGTACTGCTCATAGGTTTGAAAATCTAAATTAGAGTCCTCACTAGAAGAGACTCCCCTCCAAATGGAGTGGTTGATTATCACATTGGGATACCGAACGGTGAAAAAGGTACTTAGCTGAGGCACAAATGTCCACCTTCAAAGGTGGTGCGTGTTTTGCAGTTCCTTCCCGTCTTTGCTGTGGGGCCCAGCAGAGTGCTGGTTTTCATTGAAGCTGCATTCTGGGAAGCTGGAAAAATACTTTACTACAACTAGATTTGGTCTGGAGATGATCCATGTCTGGTTCATTTCTGTCAAAGATCCTGCTGTATAGTTTACAGTCCAGAAGTCAGGGAGAGATTTAGAGCTAAACCTTGATATCTTTTTTAAATTCCTATAAATTGAAAGGTAGTGGCTCTGTTAAAGGCTGGGCTTCCTCTGATATACGGTCAAAGATTAACTGGCCTTAGTGGAGCCAACATCCAGATTATAATATATTCCTGTAAATTCCAATAAAGTACATGGTCATGTGGTTTCTGGATATAGAATGTAAAAATAACAGCCACCCATGTCTTCCTGCATTTGAATACTGTATATCCAAAATCAATGCACCATAATGGAGTTCCTGTAACTTTTAACAGACCGGAAAGTTCATTCCTGTGTTACTTTCGGTTCCGATGTTTTTTTCCAGTCATGTCTGTGTCTTCTACTAGTGCAGCGGTGCAGCACGCCAGTGCACTCCCTTCCAGTTCTTGCCTTTACTTCTCTCCTCTCTCCTCCCCCTGTAGCTGCTCTCATGGCTACTAGTAACTCTGTACCCTCTGCTCCAGGTACTGTTGGACAGTGTGCGTGTGGGTGTGGTTTGCACGGTGCACTTGGTGTGATGATGCCCATCAGCATGCAGTGGAATGACTTTCGGTTTGGTTTTCGTTTGGTTTTAGTGAACAGTTCTTCCCTTTGTTGTGTTTTAATAGTTTTCCTGCATCAGTTTTACTGATCTTCTTATTGGATGAATATGTTTAGTTTAGTAATTACCTTTATTAAGGCCTTAGCACATTGACCAATGTGTATGTGTGGCATTGCCTTAACACCTATTGATATACATGTGTGTGGCATTTTTTCACAACAGTCCATTTATGGATACATTTTGTTTTGTGTAGATTTACCTGTGAACCTCACTAGTTGAATCTGTCTGCCTTTTTAGCTGTGGTTTGACCACTTTGATTCGGTCTTTTCAGTCTCCTGCTTGAATACGTTTGTTGTTCTTTTTTCTTTCCTTTCGGCTTCTCGTCTCCAGTGTGAGCTCTCACTGCCTGCTCCTCTCCTGCATGCTGTTTGTCAGGTACTCCGAAATGAAACGTCAGCCTCCCTCTTTAAACCCTCTTGACGTTTCATTTCTTCCTCGTCTGCCGGCTCCCTTGCTGCTTGAGCTGCCTTGCGAATTGTGCTGTTTTTCTCGAATGAACATTTCAAGGGCGCTCTCAGTGAAGTGGAAGATAATAAGATAAATATAATCAGTGTGCTGGCATGTTTTGCAGTCTTTGTTTATTGAATTGTAGGCGTATTAATCTGAGTCTCAATGCATCAGTTAGTGGGGCTGTAAGGTAAGGATTTTTTCTAAAAATATGTATACAAGAGTAAATGTCTGGCACTACAAGAATGGCATGAATTCAACTTTTGGATGAGAAATAGAAAAACATTTCAATTTATATTTAAACGTTTTCCATTTATATTTTAGATGGATATTACACAGTAAAAAGGACTGTGAAAATATATTTGTGTATTTGGAAAAAAAAAACACTAAATGTTTTATATTAAAAAAATAATATTTGGAGTGCACGTTGTGCCTTACAATCACTGTAGCTGTATTCAAGCTTGTGCCATTGACCCTCTGTGACTGGGGTTCCCTGCCAAGGCTGGGTGAGCTTGATCTGTCCAGAGTTACCTCCGCTGGCCGCTCATCAGGGACTCCTGGGATCGCACTGTGGCATCATGGGCATGTGTGACTCCTCCTGCAGGGCACTCTGGAGCTCACACCGTGTCAGGAGGAGAGCAGAAGTGCTCATTCTGCCTGTGTCATGCTGGAGTTGTAGCAGCAAGCCGAACAGATTAACATTGGCATCTCTATATTGGGAGGATATAGAGAAACTAACAAAATGGGTGATGGGCAAATATAAGAGAGTAGTATATGTATAAATAATGTACGTTTTTATTTTTGGCACAGATTACTAATGTATGTTTACATTTGGTCTTTCCATAAATCTAAATATTACTACATATTTGTAAGTATTATACATTTATGGAATTTACGTTTTGGGGGCCATTAAAATATAGCCACACAGTAGCAAAGTAAACTTTCTGCACGGGGTTTGATTTAATTTATAACCAAGGTCCATGTATTTTAGTCTGTGTGTTCTGGAGACATAAGTTTGAATCTCACGCATAATGTTCTCACAGTTATTAAATATCAAATGTGCTACATGCATATCTCATGTAGCCTCTTCTTTTTTGCAGCCATTCGTATGTTTATCAGCTGGGGCTTTTTTTCAGTAGAACTGGCCTGTATTTCAGCCCTCGTATGAGTAAAAGCATAGCTGAAGTTTTAGCTATTGTAAACTCCAAGTAGCGTAATCCCTCATAGGAACTGGCTTTGAGAAACAACCATACAGTCTACCTTGACTGGTATACAGCTTTTCTGTTTGTGAAGTTGGTATTAGGTTCTTAATATTGTTCAAAGGTACATCTTTAGACAAGTGTTATTGTAACCATACCTGTAGTGTACCTGTAGCACAGTGGTCCCCAGTCCTGCTCCTGGTGACCCTCACACCTGAGCTGAGCCCTCAGGTACTGGACACAGTCAAACCCTTGATTGACTTCATAATCATAAGGTGAATCCAAACTGTTACGTTTCCAGCTTTTCAACATGTCGGAGTTTTTACCGTTGTGTTTTGTGAGTGCAATAAAAATCCAAACCTGTGACTAGAAACAAATGCTTTATTAAATTGAAGCAACTTCTTTGATCAAGTAAGGCTTTGGTCATCTAATGGAGGTGGGATGGGATGAAGACCAGCAGGTGTGTGGGTCACCAGCACCAGGACTGAAAACCACTGCTGTAGTAGATGAGGTTTTGCTTTAAAACAATTAAGCAGTGTGACCAGCGCTTTGTGAAATCTGCCTTCTCTGACTAGTTTTCTTTTTTTTTCATTCTTGACAGCTGAAGCAAAAGACAGTGGAACTGACCAGAGCATGCCAAAAGCAATATGAGCTGGAGCAAGAGTTGGCTTTCTATAAAATCGATGCCAAATTTGAACCCCTGGCTTACTATCCAGAAGAGGTGGGATTCTGTAATATGGATTCACATTACTTTACGAAAAAGCAAATAATTTCTTTCCAGGTCTGACAGACTCTGGGGAAATCGTTCCTTTTTACTTTTAACTTTTTTTGTTTCACAGAGATCATACAGTATAAAAAAGGGTAGATTTCATTGAACCAAAGGTGAACAGTTTCATAAATTTTTGTCATACTCACAAAATCTTCTTTAAATAGCATTTTCTCTTTTGATGGGCTCTTGGTTCATGTTTTATCATTATTTCAGGCCCATTCAGCAGATACGTTCATAAAGGTCTTAAGGCGTAAGGCATTGTAAGCACCTGTGCCGATATGCACTATATGTCTCTTTCGGTCCTGAACATATTCGTTTTTCCTTGCCTGGCTGCAGGATTTGGATGTGGATAGCTCTCCTGGTGAGAGTCCCTATATTGGAAAGGCACGGTTCAAGAGGAATGCCTTCGCCACCGAGACCTTCATCGCAGACCGCAGACAGCAGGCCAGGGCTGGCCAGGTGGAGCTGGACTCGGGACGAGGAGAGAGGCCCAGTCTGCAGGACACTCTGATCTTGCAAGAGCATGGTAGAGTCTGTGCTGTTCAGAGTACCATTGCAGTTTATTTAACTTACGAGTGTCACCCAAAACCTTCTGAGCGTAACAGTAAAAGAAGTGCTAGAGACCATTAACAGTGCTGTATGTACAGTACAGTACTGTACTCAAACGGCCGAACCGCAGTTTTCTGAATTTCTCAAACCTGTTTACGCACCTGCATCGCCTTTAATTTCACTGCCATAGTGAGTCCGGTCCTGTGTGTTTTGAAGCAGAAGAGCGTCTCGGGCATCTCCAGAAGGAAATCGAAAACGCTGAACACCAGATCCTGCGAGCCACAGAGGAGCTGAAACAGCTGGAGGAGGCTGTGTCTCAGAAACGGGTGAGGAAGGATTTCCTGAATTATCTCCTTTTGTTTTTCTCAGAGTTGGTCATTTTAAAGCTGTTCCTGTGATAGAAGGATGCTGAACACCTCAGCACCTATAAGAACTGTTATGTAAGTGCTTGTAAGTGTGAGGTGCCTTCATAGTACGGTCAGCATCTTGCCTACTTTAGACTGAGACACCAAATTGAAAAGTCTAACTTAACCTATTGAGCTCCGGTTTAGGTCTATGGTGTGATTTGTACATCCAGTATCCCCTCTCTTAAATTATGCTCTGAATAACAGTATATTCACTGACTTAAAAGACTCACAAAACACCCTTGAGCTAGTTAGTGTGTTTCAAAACAAGTATCAATTTTTTCGTTGTGATATTCTTAAAGATTACCTGTCACATTTTTGCATTTTTTGCACATTTTTATGGCTGTTTTTTCTGTTTTTGGAAGGATCAAAAATCTGTAAAAGTATTCATTTAGAAAGTGATCAGTAATCAGTACTGATCGATATAGTACCGCATGTAGGTGTAGTTTTCCATTGTGAATGTCAGCACAACACAAGACATTTCTCTTTCAAACAGAAATTGAATATCTGTGATTAAACCATATTATTTATTAGTGCTATTAAACAAATTTGGGGGAGTTGTGTGATAGAACACATGCAAATAAAACGCGTAAGTGTTCTCATTATCTTTTAATCAAAAATAAATTGTTCATATATTTATAGATTGAATATTTGTGCAGTGGTACATGCAGTTCATTTGTGCTTACAGTACAGTTAAGAGGACTGAGCTTGCTCTAGGCCACTTCTGGAATCCCTCAGGGAGGCTGGTGGCATTTACGTTGGCCTAGATCCATCTGCAACATCATTGTCAGTGATATAAAATTACTACAATTCTTTCCAACAAATCTGCCCTCAAACACTCAGGATATAGGAAAAGGTACAACTGTCACTTCCAGCTGAAACTTTGTTCAGCTTTTTCCAACTCTAGATAATATTCATGAATCGTCTATTCCAGGTTTTAATTCTGTTTTTTTGCCTGCACCTAAATTGGCCATTTGAGGCTTGGAGCCTCAGGAGGTGGGCGGGGTCAGCTGTCATCCAACCTCTTGCCCCCTCTGTCTGCGCAGATCTCGGAGGCCGAGAAGGAGCAGCTCCGGCTGCAGCTGCGCAGGCAGATCCAGCTGCTGGGCCAGCTGCGGCAGGAGGCGCAGCTGATCGAGGAGCAGCTGGAGAGGCGGAGAGGGGAGATGAGCGAGAGGTGGGGCGAGCTGGACCAGCTGCAGACGCTGCTGGACACCCTGGACCCCGGCGATCCACACCATGTAAGCGCATTCTGGACTCTCCTCGCCTCAGTGCCACACCCAGATCAATAATGTGTGACCTCTTTTAACCAGCGATCACCTACTCATGCATCAGTCTTTGCAAAGCTCTCTATACCCTTATACATAATTGATTCTTTAATAGTGAAAAACACTTGCCTGCGTGACATCATGCCTACAAAGTTGCATTAAGACAGACTATATAACTTTTTTGTATTTTTGTTGTTTTTGTAGCTCTAATATACATATAGTATATTGTCTGTATGTCTGTATTTCTAATGCAAATATTATCTAATATAGTAACACAGTAAATGTATTACATTTAGCATAACGATAAATGCAGCACATGAAGACAAATCTCAACACTGTACATTAATCCAGCAATATAATGTTTAGTCCGGCTAGTGGTTTATAGTTACTGTTACCAGCTTAATGTGAATGTGATTATAAGTCCTCAAGCTTTCTGAATATGTAAAGCAAATCAAGCAACTATTTCATGTTTTTAAATTGAGGATGACTGTGTATGCATTTACGCCAGTTACTGTACATAGACAGCATACAGTAACTCCTTCATCTCCTAGTAGTTTGGGATAAATTCACAAATCTAAACTGAGAAACTGAGAGGTCTTGCTTGTTATCATGTAAAGGAACAAGTAATAGGTTTATTCCATGCTAGTACCATAATTTGTTCAACTAGTAACGATGCCGTAATTAGTTCGAAATGCATGATGAGCAGCAACACCTACCTTTATCTGTATTGTGTGAAAATGACACGTGCAGGTTAGTGTGTCTTGTACTTTGCACCTCTGTGTACCTGAGTAAACAGCTGTGGCATTGTCTCCAGTTTGACATCATAATGCCTTTGTCCTAATTAAACAGAACAGGATACAACCCGGTGGGTGTTAATGGCCATGAGAAAACTCGACTCTACAGGACCTCTGTGGGAAGCCTTAATTGTCTGTTCTTACTTTTAATTTTGCTCAGGAAGTAGGCTGACATTGGGTTTTAGTTAAATGTAATTAAATATTAAATAAAAGTACATTTGTGCTGAACATGCAACAGTCAAGCAAGCCAGTAAAGCAGGATTTTTTAAGAGTTTGCTTTTTAAAAATAAAAGTATTACAAGTATAAACTTAAAATCAAGTCAGATTCTGCCTTAAGATTTGAAACATAGAACTTATCGGATACAGTGGAACACTGCAACACCAGTATGTAAAACCCCACAGTGCTAGTTTTAATAGGGAATGAAACAGACAGCGATTCTTAACATGTCTTTAAGAAGGCAGGCTTCCCCCAGGAGAAATCTTGACTCAGTTTGGAAAGCGAGGGGTTTCAGAGGCCCAGGGTATTGTTTCAGTTCAAGGCTGCCTTCCTGATTGGCTGAGGCGGTGCTTCCTGTGTTGTGATTCAAAGGGAGAGGGGAAGAGAAGGGCAGGGTAGAGACGGAGAGGGAGCGTGAATCTGTGAATCTGAGAGAACTGCGGACTCAGAGGGCACCGTGTCTGCAGCGGGGAACATGGCTTGACTGAGGGGAGGCTCACAGATCCGCTGCACACTGCCCGCTCTGTGAAAGAGGAAGCCAGCGTCTGGGCAGGGAGAAAAACGGAGGAAACTGCAGCAGGAAAATGACAAACTTGCTGTGCCGATTTTGTGAGTAGCGCTGAAAGGGAAAGAGGAGTAGTTTTCCTCTTTACTGACTGGTGACTTCTGAAACAGAATTGGACTTTTTTTCTGCACTTTAGGAGAGAAAGAGCCTTTGTGTTTCATTTGAACTCTAGCTGTGTGTAGCAGTTCACCACTTTGGAGCACATCTCAGGAGTTTATTTTTGCCGCTTTTACAATTGAAAAGGAAATTTAGGACACAAATACAAACTTTTTTGTTAATAGGAACCAGGGACAAGCTTGTTTACTTTCGCAATTAAATATTGTTTAGTGTTTAGTTGCGTGTGGTTTTTGAGTAATACCCGTTTATCTGAATTTGAGTCCAAATGAAGATGAGGCCAGTATGAAAATGGTTTTATTAAGAGTTTGTGTCAAACATGATGGATTGAAAGAAAAACTTTGTAAGATTACTTAAACCAAGTGTGTACGAGCAGCCTCTTGGATGTCACTGCATGAGCTAATTGTAAATGTAACCTTACAAATGCTCACTATTCTCTGTGATCTATGATCTGTTCTACTAATCATTTATAGGACATTTTGTATTTATGTACTCTGTGACACTAAGATTAAACTCTGTTTCAAAAGATCAAGATGACCTGGTAGAGTATAAATTAATTCTCAAAACACAGTGGGCCTCTTGAGTTGATTCAGGCAGTAGCGTGCAGTACCTGATAGTTTGTGTTAGTGTCTGGGCATTGTCAGCAGTCAGTGTAGTGTAGGAAAGATAAACTATGCCCCACTGACAGGCCTTGCTGTCTCTGTGACAGGAGCCACAGCCCTGTGCATTTGAACTCCTGCAGCTGACAGAAAGGCTCTCGGGTAGAGTTTTAACTCTTCCTCGGCTGAAAACCAGCATCGCTGTGACATGCAAATCCTTCCCTTTTCTTTGTTTGGTGGGGACGTGGTACAGACAAACTCAAAGCTTTCTCCAAAGAACAGACACAGCATTACTATGACACTGCCTTCACCCTTTCTCACATGATTGATTGCTCTGTACCTAAATGTTTGACATGAGGCAGTTGTTTGTCATGACAGGATGTCATTTATCCCTATTAAACTGAGTTAACAAAGCTGTTAAACCGAGTTTCCTTTTTCAGTTATATTATAATACTATTCTGTGTTTTTTATAGTATACTTCAATAATCTTGAAGTCTCCATGCTGAAAGAAATGGATTTGGTTCTCGGTCCTATTCATGTTTAATAGGTGACATCTGTGAAAGCTATTTCGTTTTTTAAGCAGTTGAAGGTGTGCTGCTGTATTTTAGCATGGGCAACATTATTACAAATAAACTAACAATGGTATTTCTGTCCTATTAAAGTCAGCTTGTCAGTTTATTTTTATGGAAGGTAGAAAGTTTGATCAGAATAACAGGAGCCAAGATCAACTGGCCTCAGCTGACCTAAGTTGCAATCATTCCTGATGTTATTTCCTCAATTTAAATAAAAATATAAATAATATAGTTATCTCCTTCACATTTGTCCCTTTTCCACCCCTTTTCAATTTTGCATCACCTCCTCATCCAATGGCCAGAGGGCTAGCTCTCAACAAAGTGGGTTAAGCCAAGTTTCTGTAACTAAACTCATTAAGCACATTTCAGTGCACTCAAGTCGCAGGTGCTGTTATTCCTCATGAACTCCACTTATCGACTACGAACAGTTTGGTCTGGCATAGCTTAGATCAGTTGACACGGTTTCGTTTATGGTTCGTGCCCTGCCTTCTTGATTCCAAAGGACGGCGTCTATTGTCTGCTGTCTCTGTCACCCCCTTGTTTAGGCTCATGTGCAGGCTCAGATGGTCAGTAAGGGCCAGCAGCTTGACATGATGAGCAGGCAGTACCGGGAGCTGGAGAACAGGCTGGATGAGATGCTCACCAGGATTGCCAAGGAAACTGAAGAGATAAAGGACTTGGAACAGCAGCTTACGGATGGTAAGGCCTTCACTCAGCAGAACACGCGTTACTCTTGGTCTCTTGTGGGAGAGAACATTGAAGAGCTTCTGGGTTTTTAACTTTATCAGTCAGTATACTTGACCAATGCATGTTGGTCACAAACATCACTCTTCAGCATAGTCCTTATCCTCCACAGTCTGTTTTCTTTGTTACAGAGCAAGATCTTCTGTTGATTTGAAAAAATTACGGCTGGCATATATTATGCCCATGGTTTTAGCCTGGGTTACGTGTTATAATTTGTGTTCTCAAGGCAGAGGAGTAATTTGAAAAGTGTCACCTTCATAGTGACTTCTTTGGAGGTGTTAAAAAGATCTGTGTCCCTGTTCTGGAGGATCTGAAATATAGTAACCTTGCAATGTGCAATTTAGGTAAAGAATTAAACATAAAAATGTTTTCTCTCTTCACTGGAGTGTTAAAAAACAGCTACAGTTTTGATAAGATTGGTATACTACAGTATATGCCCTACTGTAGGTGAAAAAGTCTTCTTCACCTTTGCCCAAGAAGTTTGAGTTTAAGACCCTTTTCACAACTGTTCCACTCTAGGAGGGATCCTTGTGGTGAAAGTGTCAATTTTAACATTCATTCTCAAGAAAGGGATTGTACTGAAGAGCCTGAATCACCTCACGTCTGCTCAGTTCTGGCATAGGATAAAGCAGTCTAGCAAGCTTAGGGCAAGGCCAAGGACATGCCTGTGTCTGTCTCCAGCTGCAGTTCTCTTCCCTCTGGAACATACAGTAGCTTCCCGGGCTGTGTCAGCAGCTCCGGCCCTAGGGTGTCTCTGTGCGAAATGAGCTACAGTAGCTACAGTTTTAAGGCTTGTGCTCATTTCTGTAGCATTGCACTGAGAAAACGAGACTATCCTTTGAGAAGATCCCTACCTGCCGAATCTTGGTACCCATGCATACTCCTGGATGAATCAGATTAGAGTAGTTTATCACCCTAAAGGGCACTAGAGCAGTGCTGGTGTGGAGAGTTAAATGTAGGGACCTCTGGCGGGTGCTGTGCATGGTCGCCATGCAGCCGTGAGAGTGTGTGTGTCTCAGCACTGCTGTGTGTGCTGGCCTTCCTCCAGGTCAGATTGCAGCGAACGAGGCTCTGAAGCGCGACCTGGAGGGCATCATCGCCGGGCTGCAGGGGTACCTGGACGGGGTGAGGGGGCAGGCCGGCCTGGCCCAGGAGCAGTGCCGGGAGCTGGAAAGAGAGAGGGATGCCCTGCGGCGCCGCTTGGGGGACACTGAGGAGCAGCGTCGGCAGCTGGAGATCGTCGCCATGGACGCGGAGAATGCCCGAGAGGTAGGGGAGGGGCGGACCCGGCTCCAGGGGAGATCGGGCTTCTGGAGCACAGCGTGAGGGCTTCTCCCCTGGTGTGAAATCGGGAGTTGTATTCGGGAATGTTTCACAACGGTTAAGGTTTTTCTCTTTTTTTTCTTTATAAACTGCACTATACAGTATGTGGTACATCACACATTTAAGCAGTGTCAGCTCTAGTTTCATTCCCTACTCTATAATTATTAAATGACTACGGATAGGAAAATAATTATAATAATAATCAAGGGCAGGCTGTTTTCGGAAGGCTTCCAAGCAGATTCCTACCAGCTTATCACATAGGTTTTAAATTAATAAAGGTTTAAGAGAAAAAGTAGCCTTCACCCTAGCTCAGCCTTATCCTCGAACATACATAAATCATTAACCTTTATAAGCTGTTAAATTTAAAAATCGATTTGAAGGAGTCCATATTGGCCTAAAAGACCTACAGTTATACCCTAATGATATTTTCGCTTGTAGCTTGGGGAAGGCATGTTTGTTACTTAAAATACAGTTGTCGTTCATATACAGTTCTCAAAGCAGTAGTGTCTAAGCCTTTAAGTGTAATAGAGAGAATTTCACAGGAAAATTGGGTTTTGCTTCAGATGGTCTCGGTTTTGAGCTCTAGCTATTGTTAAGCCTGATAACAATATACTGTAAGTACAGCGATGGTAGCATCTGAAAGTGAAGATTAAAGCTAACAGATATAAGTCAACGTGTAAATCTGATTAAATTATTTGGGCCTAATAGAACACCAAACGTCAACACCGTCTGGAAGAAGCATAAAGTTTAGGCCCAAATCTTACTAAAAGATATTTCTAATTCCTTTAAAATCATAATTAGAAGGCGAGTAAATCTTTTTGTTACGCTAGAATAGAGTCTCACCCCCCCTGTATTTCAGTCTTAGCCCTGAATGTTCTGAAGTCGCTCTCTGGCCACGATGGCGTCAGCCTGCAGGGCTCCCAGGGGGCTGAGCGGCGGAGTCTGTGTTGCAGGAGCTGGCGGAGCTGCGGCGCACCCTGGAGGAGGTGCAGGCGGAGAACGCCAGCCTGCGCGAGGCCCAGGGGCACCTCAGCGCCTACGAGGGCGAGCTGGAGGCCCAGCTCCGGGACCGCGACACCGAGGCCAGGCAGCTGGAGGAGGAGCTGGGACGCGTGCGGCACCTCAGTCAGGTGAGGAGGGGCCGAGCGCGAGAGATCAAGGCTTTTGCCTTCAGGACTGGTAAGGGCATGGCGAATCATGGAAAGCTGGAACACAGTATGGCATGTTATTATTAATGCTGCTTACCTGTGATTTCTCAGTACGATTATAGGAATGCAGTACAGAAATTATTGGCTTCTTTTGTCACGTCAATGATCACAGCATTACAGGATAACCATAGGAAATTCCAGTAAGTGTGCAACGTGTAGCATACACTCCACTCCAGTGCAGAGAGGTCTGTATTGACATTCTACACCCTGTATTCAGACATGAAACCTAGGTGTCAGAGATAAACCAATTAAAATACAGTCTACGTATATACAGTATAAGTATTTCACAGGATTTTAGGATTTTCTCATAAATGTCCATAAGTCTTTTAACACATTACAAGTATATAATTCCCATTGACACATGTGAAAATTAAACTAATTAAGCAAACATTCTCAGTTATTCAAAGGCCATTACTGCTGAGGTTCTAGGTGCCCGGTCATTTACCAAACCTGCTTACATTCGAGGAGTTCTGAATCCCAGAAAGGGATGTAATGTTAATGCTGGTACTCGATTTGTTAAGTCCATATTCCATTGCGTGTGAAAAACGTGTATTTTTCATATTAGAACAAACTGTTTGCCTATTTCAAGTTATGGTCCATTGAGTCACTGTTGAACTGAGTAGGAGCCCTTGTTTCCACCAGTAAGCATTAGGTTTACAGTCTGGGCATCTGATCGCCGTTTTAAAAAACGTATCAAATGAAATGAATTAATGGTAAATGGTAGCTTTCACTGAGTTACATGTCCTGACTTGAGCTCCCAAAGGTTTATGATGCACAGCTTTTCCTTGGGTTTATGCTCCAGTTATTCCAAGTAATCCTCAGCACATTCATTAAAACACACATGGTAGATATCAGAGGTTATCACAACTGCCTTGCACTAACCTCAAAACCCAAGGTTAAGAGTTATACTGTTTGTTTTACTTCGCTAGTAGCTAGCTGTGTTACAGTATCAGTGATCAATGGAGTTGCAAGACTTTCCTTTTAGTTTCACTTGGAATGAATTTCTCTTTGAGAAGCAGAATTATAACCCGCGAGGTAGATGGTGACTACTGTGTGCCGTGCTGTTTGCGGAGCTCCTCACTCAGACTGTGCCGTGTTTCCAGATGGAGAAGTCGGCCCTGCAGGCGGAGCTGGAGAAGGAGCGCCAGGCGCGGGAGAACGCCCTCGCCCAGGCCCAGCTGGCAGCCGAGAGGGAGCAGGAGAACCTGGAGCTTCTGCACCAGCTGAATGAGCTGCAGGTCTGGGGCGGGGAGCTCATCTCTGACTGTCCAGGCAACCGGGCTGTCTCCATGTGTAGCTGGGTTATCCTGAAGGAGGTCAGCCTGGGACTGTGACGTCCTGTCCAGGGGGTGTCTAATGTACCATCGGCTGCTAAAAACTAGAGAGAATGAGATTTGATCCAGACGTGCGAGCCCATCGATGTGGGAAGGGGCCTGAATGTCAATTTGCAAAGGTTGTTCACTTTTTCACCAAACGCACACATGCAGTGTTCTGAGAGCAGGAAGAGCAGATGGAAAAATCTTGCTTGTATTCCTAAAATTCATAAAAAGAGAGAGCGCAAAAAGGGTAGCTTATTTAATATCGCTGTCTGGAAGTCTGAAAGAGCTGAAGGGTATGTGGTGGTGGTTTTCCACGGCGCCGCCACGCACGAGCACTCCTCCTCGCGTGTCTTTCAGGAGGAGAAGGGCTCTCTGACGGAGAAGCTGCAGGGGCTGCAGGGAGAGCTGGACCAGGCGCGGCAGACTCTGCTCCATCCCGACGCGGTGCTGCGCCGCGTGGCGGAGCTGCAGAGGAAGATCGCAACAGGCCTGGGAGAGATCAGGCAAGTCGAGCTGAGCCGGGGGCAGGAGAAGGGCACGCGGCCCAGCGCCGTTTTCAAAGATCAGTCAGATTCTGAAGGCACCTCTCTGGTGACTCGAAGAGCACGTTTAGCGAATGCACGGTTAACGTTCGACGGGGTTTCGATCTTTTGATTGTGAGTTAAAGTAGCATTTTATTGTTCCTTTGGATTATAGAAAAAAAAAAACACAGTCCAGCGTTTGTCTCCGGCTCGGAAACAATGTGCCGCTTTGCTTTGCCCAGGGCCCACGCCGAGGGGGACGTGGTGGGCGGGAGCCTGGCTCAGCTGCAGCAGGAGCTGGCAAGGGTGCTGGCCCGCGCGGAGGAGGGGAGAGAGGAGGCGGTGCGGCGCCAGGGCAGGCTGACGCAGGAGATGGGCGCGCTGAGGGAGAGGCTGCGCCGGGCCCAGGAGGAGTACAAGGCAGCCTGCGACAGGGCCGCAGAGGCCAGGGTGAGACAGAGGAGCGCGGGCGCCATTTAGAGATGCCAAATTAGAATTTATAATGATGATTGCTTACGCTTCTGTGGCGCTTTTCTGGACACTCCACTCAAAGCTTCGCAGGTAATGGGGATCCCCTCCACCCCCACCAGTGTGCAGCCCCACCTGTTTCCCTGCCTGGTGAGTTAGTACCCTGCTGAGGCATAGGAGCAAACTTATAAAACATCTTGACATCTTTGTTCAACTGTTATACATTTTAGTTGTCAGTTAAGCGAAACAATAAACACGTTTAGAAATGTTTAGAACAGTCTGCTGTATTTAATTCTGAGTTGCTTTTTTGACAAATACTGGATTTCAGAATAGGAT